CTGATTCTATTAATATGCTTTCATTTATTAGCTTTGGAAGTACTTGTGATTGTGACTGCAGAATAGGACGAGGGCATAATGTTTCTTATCAATTTTAGTTTGATTTATCTACCTGTAAATTGAGGTGGTCCTGGTATGTCTTTGTCATAAATGCAGACATAGTTCAGATTTTTTTTTTTTGACACTCTTTCTCTGACCAATAATTTTTTTTTGTTGTCTTTAGGTTTCAAGTGAAAAAGAAGCAGTTTTTCCGCAATTTTGTGACTATTATGATGTTCGGCGCCATTGGGACTGTAATTTCGTGCACCATAATATCTCTAGGTAGCTTACTTCCCACCCTTGTATTTGAGAACCGTTGAAAACTTCTTTCGGATTAGTAATTGTGGATCATTAATATTCTTGTGGTGTTTGAAACAGGTGCAATTCAGTTCTTTAAGAAATTAGACATTGGGACCTTTGACTTGGGCGATTATCTTGGTAGCACATCAACTTTATTACCTTATGTTGTTATTGCTTAGGTTTATCAACTTTTGTTATAGAAAACTGATTTTATTTTATGTTTGTTTCCCAGCAATCGGTGCCATATTTGCTGCGACTGATTCTGTATGCACACTGCAGGTAATGTGTTTCTCCAGTTAACCAAAGTACTCAAGGCCCATAATCGTAGTGTAACAAAAACTCTTGTTCCTTTGGTAATACAGGTTCTCCATCAAGATGAGACACCTTTGCTTTACAGTCTTGTATTTGGAGAGGGCGTTGTGAATGATGCCACATCTGTTGTGCTCTTCAATGCAATTCAGAGCTTTGATCTCACTCATCTTAACCATGAAGCAGCTTTTCTTTTTCTTGGAAAATTCTTGTATCTGTTTCTGCTGAGCACATTGCTTGGTGTCGCTGTAAGTCCCGTGTCTTCTCTCTGCTGGCTACTTTCTATATGCACTTGTGTTGATGCCATTTACGACTACAAATTTCGTGAATCATCTTGCAGACTGGTCTGATAAGTGCTTATGTCATCAAGAAGCTATATTTTGGAAGGTAAACGATTGGCTCTGGTTTGTTATGTGACTGTCAATAAGCATGTTCTATAACGTGGTCCAAACTAAATGTGTCTTTACATGACATTTCTCAGGCACTCAACCGATCGAGAGGTTGCCCTTATGATGCTGATGGCATATCTTTCGTACATGCTTGCTGAGGTTAGATTCTGTGAAACCTGTTACCACTTTAACATAAGTATTTAGGAAGGGATACATTCAGTGTCATCTGAAGAACATCTCTTGATTTTATCTTGTTTGGGTTGCAGCTATTCGCCTTGAGTGGTATTCTCACTGTATTTTTCTGTGGGATTGTGATGTCCCATTACACCTGGCACAACGTGACCGAGAGCTCAAGAATAACTACCAAGTAATACAATCTCTAGTTTCTCCATCTTTCACTTGAAGAAAAACTTGGTATCAGACGTTTTCCATCTTCTATAACTTACTCGCTATACATTTATGATGCTACAGGCATACCTTTGCTACTTTGTCGTTTCTAGCCGAGACTTTTATTTTCCTTTACGTTGGAATGGATGCATTGGACATTGAGAAATGGAGATTCGTTAGTGACAGGTAGGGTTTACCCAGTATAACGGATAATAATAAACTCTCTTCTCGCATCTTTTCAGTTTCCTTGTTCCGTAGCTATATATTTGTTCTCTGAATATTTCTGTTGTTTGGTTTTGAACAGCCCGGGGACATCAGTTGCAGTAAGCTCAATTCTTATGGGTCTAGTCATGCTTGGAAGAGCAGCTTTTGTGTTTCCTCTTTCCTTCTTATCAAACTTATCCAAGAAAAACCAGAGCGAGAAAATCGATATCAAGCAGCAAGTAAGAACAATCTAATTTTGTCTACTGGATTCAATTTTCCGGTGGAATGTTGAATGCTTATATATCCATCTTCTTTGCCTTCGTCTATAGGTTGTGATTTGGTGGGCTGGTCTAATGAGAGGTGCTGTATCTATGGCTCTTGCCTACAATAAGGTAAACTGAAAGCTTAATGAATAGTAAACAGCCACATGGTGAATATCTAACAGATCTCTTAACTTCTTAGTTTCTCTGTGTTCTCTGTTGCAGTTTACAAGATCAGGGCACACTGAATTGCGCGGGAATGCAATCATGATTACCAGTACTATAACCGTCTGTCTTTTTAGCACCATGGTAAGATTTATTTTCCTTCTCAGGTTTGGAGTACTATGCATTTTCCCTATTGGTACTGTATTCAAATCCAGGCAATCTGCTTCAGAAAACCAAAACGTACTCCAAACCAAAAATGAAATTAAAAAAACAACAATCTGGAACTTAAAAATTCTTTGAAAATTAATGGTAAATTTGACAAAGAAACTGGATCCAAACATAATAAACCGAAATTGTTCGAGCTAATCAGACATTTGACATTTATTGGTTGTTTATCTGATACCAGACATTTGACATTGTTGTTTCCATGGGTTTCAGGTGTTTGGTATGCTGACCAAACCGCTGATTAGATACCTACTGCCACATCAAAGAGCGACCGCGAGTATGTTATCCGACGATAACACTCCGAAGTCAATCCACATTCCGCTCCTAGATGGCGAGCAGCAAGATTCCTTTGTCGAGTTCTCTGGGACTCACCAAGACGTGCCAAGACCAGACAGCATTCGTGGTTTCCTCATGCGTCCCACACGCACTGTACACCATTACTGGAGACGGTTTGATGATGCCTTCATGCGTCCTGTGTTTGGTGGTCGCGGTTTCGTTCCCTTTGTCCCTGGTTCTCCGACCGAGAGAAGCACCCATGATCTCACCAAACCTTAGAGAAAGTTTATAGAAAACTTTGTCAGAAAACAAAAAACTTCTTCTTCTTCCCCCTTATGGTCACTACTAGTGACGTAAAGGTATTTTTGGTTCTCCCAAATTTATATATATTTTTTCGTGTAAATTAATTTACAAATTTGTATTAGTATTGTTATATTCACGTGGATGAAGAAGCTTCTTACATATTGAGAGACGTATGGGGTTTATGCATATGTTGGTTCATGTGTTTGTTGTTGTTAGTTAGGAGCTTGAGACTTTGGTTGTTTGTTTCTTCTATTCAAGGATCTGGTTGGTGAGTTATGGGTACTGTTTGGTTCAATTTGGTCAATGGAATCAAAACCTCTATTGAATTTGAGATCTGTATGTATGTATAGTCATGACAAAACTGCATACATTTGTGGTTTGAAATCTGAATGATATATATATTTTGGTTAGGACTGGTTTGGTAACCGTAATGGGTAGAAAATCACCGAAGTCACTAGGGTATGTAATACGGTTATGACGGCACGTGATATACTAGTAGAATGGCACGTGTTGGGCCGAGTGATAAAAGTCAGGCCCATGTTGCTAAAGAAACGGGCGAGTGAAGCTTATAAATGAAAGCAGCTACCTCAGTACAACACGCTCTTTGTACACTCCGCCT